AGGTAACATAATACTGTACATAGAAAACCCCAAAAATTCCACCAGAAGACTATATTTAATAATCAAATTCAATATTGCAGCTAGATACAAAGTTAACACTCAAAAATCAGTAGCATTTCTGTACACAAATGATAAAATGAGAGAGAAATTAAGGAAACAATACCTTTCACAATAGTATCAAGAAAAATGAAATACTTAGGAATCAATCTAATGAAGGAAGTAAAAGACCTTTACACTGAAAACTACAGCACTCTGAAACTGAAAAGGATATCAGAAAATGAAGATATCCCTTGTTCTTAAATAGGTAAAACCAATATAGTGAAAATGGCCACAATTGTTATACAGATTTAATGAAATTCTGATCAAAATACCAGGAGCAAACTTCATAAAATTAGAAAAAACAATCCTCAAATTCATATGGAACCAGAGGAGACAAAAATAGCAAAAACAGCTAGGCATGATAGCACATGCCTATAACCCCCAGTACTCAGGAGGCTCAGGTGGAGGCCAGCCTGGGCTACATAGTGAGTCCAAAGTCAGCCTAAATTAAAAAATAAATTTATCTTTAGCCCTATCTACATAGTGAGTCCAAAGTCAGCCTAAATTAAAAAATAAATTTATCTTTAGCCCTATCTATCTATCTATCTATCTATCTGTCTGTCTGTCTGTCTCAAAGCAATTGTGAGCAACAAAGGCAAGGCAGGAGGCATCACAACATACGACTTGAAATTGTACTATAAAGGTACCATGATAAAAACATGATATTGGCAAATAAACAGGCCAGAAGATCAACAGAACAGATTACAAGATGCAGAAACAACTGCAAACACACTCAGTTACTTATCTTTGACAAAGGAGACAAACACCTTCACTGGAAGAATGATAAGTTCTTTAATAAATGGTGCTGGGGAAACTAGCTTTCCATATGCTGAAGATTAAACCTAGACCCATATCTTTCACCATGTACTAAACTAAAATCAAAATAGATCAGATCTAAATATGAAAACAGAAACAATTTGCTGGATGATAGGTAAAACTCTTGAAGACACAGGTGTAGGCAAAGACTTTATGAACAAAATCCTGATTGCACAGGAAATATTACAAAGCATCAACAACTGGGATCACATGTTATTAAAGATTTTGCATGGCAAAAGAAACTACAACAGAGTGAAAAGACAATCCCCAAAACGAGCTATTCCTCAGACAAAGGAGTGGTATCTAGAATATATAAAAAACTCAAGACAAAACAACAACAAAATAAGACTACTCCAAATTTAAAGACACAAGCCACAAATGGGTTTCTGAAATGAATAGATACTTTTCAGATGCAGTACGAACAACAAATAAACGTAAGACACAATGCTCAACATCAGCCGGCCATGGCGGCACATGCCTGTAATCCCAGCACTTGGGAGTCTGAGGTAGGAGGAACACTGTGAGTTCCAGACCAGCCAGGGCTACAAAGTGAGTTCAAGGCCAGCTTGAACTGCACAGTGAAACCCTGTCTCAGAAAGACACGAAAAAAACCCAAAGCTCATCATTGATTATTCAAAATATACAAACTAAAAACAGATCATCTCACTCTAGAAAAAAATAGCTATATTAAGAAATCAACCACTAACAAATGCTGGCAAGGCTGTGGAGAAAGGAACCCTTCTTGGTGGGAATCTATACTAGCACAACCATTATGGAAATCAGCATAGAAACTCCCAAAAAAACTAAATCTAGGGCCAGGGGTTTAGCTCAGTGGCACAAGTACCTGCCTGACGTTTGTAAGTTCGATCCCCAGTACCAAAATAAATCAAAACCAAAAAAAAACCCTAAATCTACAAATTCCATGTGACCTAGCTAGGTATATTTCAGTGGTCTACGCATATGCATAGTACAGCAGCCTAATCCTTTTTTTCAATTTTTTACTAGCTGTCTAATTTTTAATAGCTAAATCTTGGAAGTCGGCTATATGCCTAGTAACAGATACATGGATTAAGAAAATGTGGAAAAAAAAGAAAACAGATTGCTTCTGATAACCTTTCAGTTAATAAATTGAAAAAATGAAAAGATAGTTTGTTCATTTTCATTCTTATTTTCAATATAAATCACTTGCTACCATGTTTCATTTTAGTTATTAATCATATAGTTGAAGAGTATTTAGTCAATCTGTAATATATTAAAAATTTTTAACCTGAAAATCAAAAAAAGAAAATGTGGTATTTCTATACAATGGAGTATTACTCTGTCATAAAGAAGGATAAACTTATCCTTTGTAAGAAAATGAATATACTTGAGACTTAAGGTTAAAGAAAATAAGATGCACAGATCTGAGTATTGTGTGACTCTCTTATATGAGAAAGCCAAAATACAGATAGATAATAAAAGGATAGATAATAAAAAGTAGGGAGATAGATCTTTCACATATTGGAGGAGATTAAGGGGTGATAGGATGGAGGAGTAAGGGAAAGAAGTGAAAAAAGAATCAGACATGTCACATTTATGTATCAACTTGCCACAAAAAATATAATCACATTAGAAATATGTAATGGTAAAAAATAAAAACTGAAAAAAAGATCTTAACACTGAAAGCTGCTGAAACAGCAAAGATGGCAGCTTTCCTAGATAAACAAAGCAGGTTAATATATCTAAGTCAAAAACTTTTTCCTTTTGGAAAACAATTGAGATGTCGCATCTTCTTGTGCCTTTTTTTCAAGGGAATATCAAGAGTTTAGAGTTTATGCTGCTTTTTTCACTTTGTAGGACAAAGAATTCAATTTTCTTTCTCTGCTTGACTTTGCTTAACTGACATTAATTTTGGTTTATAAAGCAACAAGGGTAAGTGACTGGTAGGTAACATAATAGCCTAAATGGCCACGGATTTCATAACTACATCATAGGAAATTAAGCAGCCCTATAATTTGACATCTTTTTTTGACAGAGCAGAATTTTAGGCTGAGGATATATTTCAGTGGTACAGCATATGCTTCATGAGTGATGTCCAGTCCTCACCATACAAAATAAAAAAGATACATTCATTATTATAAAACTGCATTTTGAACTAATTAAACAATGTTCATTGGGCTGAGAATGTAGCTCAGTACAAATAGGGCTTGAGGAGTATATCTGGAGCTCTTCGATCACCAGGACCTCAAAAAAATTGAGAGAATGAAGTTCTCCTGTAGGTACATATTTCTGAGGTAAACTTACCATCAGTAAACTGCGGTGTGTGTTGGGATATTTGACACATGTAAACCTATGAAACCATCATCACAAATAACATGTTTAGAGGGAGGAATGGGGGAAGGAAGAAGTGAGGGAGGAGGAAAAGGAGGAAAGGAGAAGATGGAGAAGAGGAAGAAGAAGAGGAGAAAGAAGAAAGGAATGTACTGGGCTCTTAGACTTCTTATTAGACAGTACTGCCCACATTCAGAATAAGCGTTCCATTCTTTCACCTTGGTTTGCTCTTCCACACACCCATCTTCTCTGGAAGCACCCTAACAAACACACCAGGAAGTGTGCTTCACAAATTTCTTAGGCATTGTCCAGTTCAAACAAGTTGATAATCAAGATTAACCATCACACTGATTAATTATCCTGTTGGTAGTTTTTTTTTTTTCAGTTTTCCCTAGGTGAAAGAACCTCTCTGTCTAGTAGGTTCCTCAAGAACAGTACATGTGTACAGTACTCCTGAGTCTCTGCACATTCTATTCTCTTTATATACATACCCTTGAAACTTCAAAGAGGTTTTGACAATATGACATTGCTTGCTGACATTTCTGTTCTTTAACTGCCTAGAAAATGCAATTCTGTTTGTGTCTTTCCCTATGTGTTGTTCTGGAGAAGCTTGGTGAAATTCTAATTCATCTGCAGGTCAAAGATATTTCATCTTTTTTACTTGAAAATCCTAGGGAATTTGTATTTAAAGTTTAATGACTTTCCTAGATATGTGCCCGTTTACTGTTATGAGTCTACTGAAATGGTACGTAGTGGTACTGAAATTGATACGTAGAATCAAGTCTTCTTTTATTTTGGACACTTCAAAATTATGGCATACATTTTCCAATATTTATTTTCTTTCAATGTTTTTATTTTTTAAAAGACTAATTTTTCCTATCTTGAATTACATTAATTTGTGTTACAATGCAAATACTGTGCTTTCATTTTCTTAAATCACCTTTTAAAATAAAAATTGTAGGAGCTGGGGATTTAGCCCAGTAGGTATGAGCACCTGCCTAGCAACAGTAATGTTATGAGTTCGATCCCTGATACCAAAAGAAAAAAAATGTATGGTTTTACAATTATTGAAAAATAAAAACAAAAACAAGTTACTTTTTTTGTACCAGGGTTCAAACTCATGATCTCATACTTGCCAGGCACTTAATATACTTATCATCTCCAAAACTCTCTTTCCGGCCTTCTGTAATTCCACCTCTATTTCCCTATTATCTTTTGTTCTGTTTTTATTTCACTGTCAGTTTTTGTTTCTCAAGTTTTGTGTAGAAGGAATTGTACATTAAGTATTTTTTGTGGGGAAGAGAGCCTGACTTCTATCATTCAGCTTAAGTTTGAAACTGATCCAGATTCCTGGGTATTTGAAAAGTTCCCTCTGTAGGCTGAGGATGTAGTTCAGTGGCACAGCATGTGCTTAGCTTGCATGAGGCAGTACGTTCAATGCCCAGCACTGTAAAAGATAAAAATTAAACATAGTGGTACCTCAGTTCATGAACTTAATTTGTTTTACAGTTCTGGAAAAGATGGCTGTTTGTGTTCATGCAGGCAAGGTGGCTTCAGTCAGGTTCGCTGACAATGCAGGGTAGTTTGCATCAGAAGCACTCATGAGCCAAGGCACCACTGTCAGTCACCTTTTATTGCTGAATTATGCCACTATGTGGCTAGATGTAACCATTTACCTCTTGAGGAGAATTCAGGTTCCTTACAGTTTTTGCTTGTTACAAATAAATCATTTACATGTATGAAAAATCCTTTTTAAGTCCAGCTTTTTCTGTTACCTCTCTGTGTCATCTCCTACATCCTGTGATTCTCTGGTCCAAAGCAAACTGCTACCTTCTTTGTTACTGTCAGTTTCTTGTTCATCCAAATGCGTTGGATCTAAAAATCATTTAAAAAAATCATTTATTAGAATGAAAAAAATTAGTGGGTATGGTGGCACATGACTATAATCTTAGCATTTGGGAAGCTGAAGCAGGAGGATCCCACAATTTTGAGGCTAACCTGGGCTACACAGGGAGTTCAAGGTTAGCCTGGACTAGTATGACCCTGTCTCAAAAAAACAAAACAAAAAACCCCAACCAAACAAAATGAAAAAAATTGAGAAAGCCTGATTTACAAAAAATAAGGCTACCAGTGGTGCCTGAAGTATGCAATGCACCAACTTCCTTCATCCCATGACATCAGAGGGTCAGGTGGCAGTCTGCAGACACTTGTATTCACAGCAGCTGCCTCTAGGATCTGGGGAGCTTTTTTGGTGCCGGGTGAAGCTGCAGGAAACTCAGCCTGAGCCAAGGTTCAAAGATACAGAAGAAACAGAGGAAAGAAAGAGCACACAAAAGACGCAAGAACTACTGACAATAAGCTACATACATTTACTTTAGGGGACCATCCTGTTTTCACTTCCCTAGGTCGGAGCCCCAGGGAAGCAATTTGCATGGGGAAGAGATGTATCCCATAATGTATCCAAGCAACCTAATTACGCCACTTCATTTCATCCAGCAGTTCTACATATGTTAAGCATTAATGTTAATTTTCTAATTATTTTACAATGTACCAGGTGCCATTCATGGAGCTACAGTATACATAATGAGATAGGACTTATTTCCATGTTACAGATAAGAATGACTAAGGTTCAGAGACATTAAACACTTTATCATATAAATGTAATTGGTGCAGCCTGGAGAGGAATACATAGTGAGATCATGTCTCAAAACATTTCTCTCCCACCCAAAAAGTAACTGTGAAATCAGAATTGAGATGGAGATGTACCTGATCTCAAGGTCACACTTCCCCTATGTACCACTATGCTGCCAAGGACAGCGTGATGAAACAGGTCTGGGGAGCAGCTTACCATCTGCAGTGATGCTAGGATGACATGCTGTGCTCTCATGCAACACCAAGGATGAGGCCTGCTGCTGCTTCAGTTGCTCTGTCACAGTACAGAAGCAGAAGGCAACTTATTCCTCCTTTGCATGACACATCAGTCCCTAGGTAGTGGTTCTCAAAGAGTGGTCCTCAGTCCAGCATCACTAGTATAACCCACAAATTTCATAGAAATGCAATTTTGTTGTTGTTGTTTTTCTGAGGCAAAGTTTCACTCTGCAGTTCAGGCTGGCCTTGAACTCACTTTGTAGCCCAGGCTGGCCTTGAACTCTCAGCGATCCTCCTGTCTTAGACACCTGAGAGTTGGGATTACAGCTGTGCACCACCATGCCCAGTCAGAAATGTAAATTCCTGAGTCACATCCCAGACCTACTGAATTTGAAACTCTGGAAGTGTGGTCCAATCTGGTTTTAACAATATTTTTAGGTGATTCTGATGCCTGGAAAAGTTTGAGAATCACTACTCTTAGGAATCTGAGTTTAAAAGAAACTCTTCAAGTAAGACAAAAATTCCAAAAAACATTCATGGAAGAAAAATTATGAAGGATGATGAAGTAGATCCAGATGAAGAAGATCTGGAGTACATGTGGCATGTACTGTGCCTAAGCATTTACACACATTAATTTAGGATTAATATTCACAATTCATCTTCATATAGCCCTATGAAATCGATTGCATTACTGTTAATCCTGTTTAATATATGCAAAAATAAAGGTAAGAAACTTGGAATAAGTAAGAGAATTGAGATTTGAATTTAAGAAAACTAGTTCTAAATTTTATGTTCTTAATCTCTACTTTTTTTGTTTGTTTTTTGAGACAGAGTCTTTGCTATGCAGTTCAGGCCTGCCTTGAATTCACTCTGTAATCCAACCTCGTTTCTACTTCATGAAGATCCTCCTGCCTCAGCCTCCCAAGTCGTGAGATTACAGGCAAGTGCTACCACACTCGGCATCCTAATCTCTATACTCCCTCAAAAAGTTTGTAACAACATCAGAAAAATCCAAATGTTACCCTTTCTCTACTGGGCTATATGATGCATCTTTTACCTAACCTACAGCAAAACAGAAGACAAAGAATATTATGTTCAGTTCTTTAAAAAATACTCGCTAGAGCAAGACAAGCATCTGCTAAAATCAGGAGCTCAGTCCCCTCAAAGGGCTCCCCAGGGCAGAGAGACAGATAAGTACAGGAGCACAGGAAGGCCACCCTGAGGTCATACACAGGGCCCTATTCCGGGCAGCACAGATCTACTACTTTTCTGGCAGCTCCTAGGTGTCAAGGAACCTGTAAGACTATTTAATTTGACTCAAAACAGAAAATTCATTTTTATCTTAATAGCTTCTGTTGCTTTGTTAATTATATACATATATACTAGGATTCTAAAAGTGATTTTTCTTTAGGCCACTATCAGGAGACTAGAGATTTTGAGAGGGACCCTCCAAAAGAGCAGAGATCTCGTTAAGGGGAGAGGTAGAATGGCAACACAAAATCATCAGCTTAGTAGGCCCATGACCAGGAGAAACTCCTCAAATGGCCTTTATTCTTTGTCTTTCTGAAAAATTACAGACCCATTCAAAGTGCAGACATCACCTAGAATTCTGGCCCAGATAATTTCTGTAAGTGGGATGAGAAAACACTTCTGCACAATGGGATTCAGCAGTGCCACAAGGCTAACGTGCGGAAAGAAGCCTGACAGGCTAGAAATGGCAAAGTGCAGGAAGATTCACACGTGACTACAAAGAAAGGTCAATGGGATCTGGAGGAAAATCATCAGCTACTATCAGACCACAGAGTTTACAAGTACTGTGCCAAAAGCCATAGGTAAGGGAGAATGACACCAAAAATCTATGTGATCAATACGTGTGGAGCAACCTCCACTCTCAATAGTTGTTATTTAAAAGCAACTGGAAAGGAGAAATTTGCAAAGACTACCTCAGGAATTCTATAACTAAAACAGAAGAGTGGAGGTTCTGGCTCTAAGAGCCTGACCCAACAACCATGTAGCATTGGGAGGATTTCAGTCAGGTAAGGAAAGGCCTATAAGGCTGTTGGGTGTAGCTCAGTAGTACACCTACAAGCAAGCACAAGGTCCTGAATTTGATCTCCACGCAGCAGGAAAAGGAAAGGAAGTGAAAGAGATAGTGTTGGGAGGAGTAAAAGAACAGAAAGGGACTTTACAGAAAAAGAAAGAAAATGAAGGTTCTGGAAGCTATGACTGGTTCCACCCAAATTCACCAGGCCAATGAATAGAGACTGAAGTTATGGTAAGAAGCCTACAGGATAGCTATCCCTTGATTCAGACCTATTAGTCTTTATTCCTTATGAGACACAAAATTTAATAGACCTTCAAACCATGTGTAAATCTCAGAATATTCTCTATACTGTCAAGGAAAGGGATAAAAATGAATCAGCAAAATGCATGTTTGCATGTACAGACAACCCTGAGTACACTGTGACAGGATCCTTGATTTTAGGCAGACTCAAGATACTCTGCTCTAAGGCATGCAGGCCTGTTGTCACCAAGCCACTTTTGTCTGAACACAGTACTTAAGAAACTAGCAAGCCAGGCATGATGACACATGCCTGTAGTCCCTGTACTTGGGAGACTGAGGCAGGAGGACTGTGCTGAGTTTGAGGCCAGCCTGGACTACACAGTGAGTTCACAGCCACCTTGAACTACACAGCAAGATCCTGTCTCAAAAAAAGAAACGAACAAATTGGGCACAGTGTTGGGGTTTTTTCTTTTGCCTGCCAAAGGCTCTGTCTCATGCAAGATCCTCCCCCAGAGGATGCCTCTTCATCTTTTGGTGCTCTCCCTTGCTTCATTGTGGGGTGATATATGACTGGACTATGCTCATATCTGTTATACTTTTATAAATAAACTTACTTTCATCTATATGAAATCAGGATTTGGCTCTTCTCTGTTGGTGTGGGTCTGAACCTCAACTTTCTATGACAACATATAATTGCTTGCTATTGTAATACCCAATAACAAGAACTGGACCATACCACAGTACCCCTGAGAACCTTTTTCTAAGGGTGAGGGGCTGGTCTGCACTGCTGCTGTGGAACCAGACCACTGGATCCTGGCTATTTCTAGATACACCCTTATTTTCAGCATTGGTCCTGCTACAAGTAAACTGAGCTGATATTTTTCAGTCTGCTTGAAAATTCTGGTCTCATTAAGTATTGTGTCACTGACTTTCCTGCTCTGAGCAAAGGGATTAATCCACAATTCTAGCGCCTTTAATACCTCCTACTATTGGTAAACTGAAAGTACAAGTTCTCAGCCTGAGCTGCTACATCTTAGGCCCCTAGGGATAGTAGGATAGGTTATAAAAGGAGATAAAAATATCAGGTGTAGTGGTGCATGCCTGCAATTCCAATACTTGGGAGGCTGAGGCAGGTTCAAGGGTAGCCTGGACCCCTTAACCTAAACTATATAGCAAGACCTTGTCTCAAAAAAATAAATAAAAGGAGGTAAGAATTCCTTTAGTGAAACAAGTTTGTCATAATAAGCCATTTGAATGTTGCTAATTCAACTTCACTACCATTAGCCCTTTAAGTAACTAACTGACAACAGACTGAAGGCCAATTATCCCAGCAAGGCAGATGTGATTGCAATGTGATGGGGGTGGGGGTGGGGATACTGGGGATCAAACTCAGGACCTTGTGCTTGTCAGGCAGGTGCTGTGCTACTGAGCTGTATCCTCAGCCCTCATTTTGTTGGAAAATTTCCCCTTCTTAAATTTTATAAAAACCAGAACTTTGTAGGGTCTTTTACATCAGGGCTCACATTTCAGACAAAGAAACCATATGGTGAGGCTAGGGATGTAGCTCAGTGGTACAGCACTTACTTGCCTAGCCAGAAGGCGGCTTTAGGTGTAATTCCCAGCACTGAAACACAAACAAACAACAACAACAACAACAAAACAAATCTGATAATGAGTAACTATAACCAAAAGGGGTAGGAGTGTATTTTGTATTGCATGGAACAATCATTACCGATTTCTTCAAGCAGCTCCCGAGATGGCGGTGGTAGCTCTTCGATTTGATGCTGTGAGATGGCTTCCATTAGTTCTTTAAGAAAATAATTGGGAAAATAATTTAATACTTTCTAGGACCTGAACTGGATTCTTCTAGGTTTTTCATGAACTTCACAAAGGATTTCTCAACTAAAGGGGAAGGAAGTTTCTAATGTAACAGTTTTACTAGCAACCTCCTAATATGTGAATGGCCTTTACTCCCTCTTTTCATCTTGCTTACCCTACTACACTTGGTCTGTGTCCTTCCTAAGGATATGTGGGTAGGGAAGGTACAAATTTTTACTAAGATTCAATCTAGCTCAGGGTTGTTAGAAGGATATAGAGGTTCTGGACCAGCCAAATTAAACAAAACACAAATTAGAGAGCCTCTATCTCTAGACCATCAGGCCAGTGGATGTAAGCAAAACTATGCTTTGGGTCTTGCCCTGAGTATTCAATGATACTATAGCTAAAACCTTTCAGAATAATTTATAAGGCTAGGCATAGTGGCACATGCCTGTAATCCCAACATTCAGGAGGTTAAGGAAGGAGGATTCTCTTGAGTTTAGAAGGCAGCTATACTTACCACTATAGTACCAATACTTTGGACCCAGCCTGAGCTACATAGTGAGTTCAAGGCTGGCCTGAACTACATAGCAATATCCTGTCTCTAAAAACACAAACAAGCAGTTCAGGACTGATATTCAACATGGTGCCAACTATGTTAAGACATTTTTATATAGTTCCAAAACTATAAAATAAGCACCAAAATATACATAAGGTTAAAAAAAGGTTAAATGATCATTTTCTTGTTAAGCCTTTCTTTAGCCTCGAAATGTTCTATGATGAGTAGGCTTTACTTTTACAACCAGGAGGAAAATAGCAAATCTGTTTGAACTGAGTATAGCATCGTGATCACTGAGCAACAGTTCATGCCTCCTTCAATTGGCCTACCAGTATCAAGGGCTATTTTAATATTAGACATGGGCATCTTTAGGCATATTCTTTGAGTGACATGAGTTGATGAATCAAATGATTACTACAGGGCGTAAGTAATACATGTTTCAGTATACAGCACTATCTTAAGTGGCAAACTCTAGCAAATCCATTGTTTCTGCACTAAATTTAGTAGTGTTTAGAGTACGGAGTAGACTCTGCATTTGCATCTCTACCATTGCAGTCCTAATCAAAAGCTCCTAACCTACTGCAACATCATTACCACCAGCACCCCTACATGGCCTCCCAAGGGATTGTGCACTCCAAAGTTGCTCTATTAGAACACTCATCACATGTGACTTCTGGCCTGGCTTCTGAGAGCCAGATGGAAGGAGCTATGAGTTCTCCCAAAATATTTCTCCTTTCTGTGCATGATTACCTGGGCTGAGTGGAGTGCTGACACTAGTAGGCGCGTGGCTTACTTTGGGTGTTTTGCATAAGGTTTCCTTAAAGGAGCCATCTGATTCATAGGAGATACTAGACAGATCTTGAATGTCTGTTAATGATCTAAGGAATTAAAAATATAGTAATTATGAGAAATTTAGGAAAATTGAATGATATCCTCCTGAAAGGAACTTTTAAACTATACTTTTCAAAAAAATCTTTTTTGTCAATAGGTCAAAATTAGAGTACATCTTAAAATATTATACAGAGAATATTAAAAAATATTCTAGAAAGAGATATTAAGTGTATAGATAGATAGATAGATAGAGACATATAGATATATATAGATATAGATATATAAATATATATATCCTGGCAACTAAAAGGAAACTATGCCGGGGATTTAGCTCATAGGCATAAATGCCTGCTTGGCAAACATGAAGTCCTGAGTTCAATCCCCAGTACCAAAAATGTAAATAAAAAATAAAAAGAAATGATTTCCATCGATGAAAAGATATTTATGTAGAAAATAAATAATTATCACTGTAACTCCCTGATTATAAGGAGCTATCATTTATAAAAAACATCATACATTAATAAGTTTTTTGGTGAAAGAAGAAACACTCCCATTAAGTCCATATATAAAAATGCTAAGAATACCAATTCTTAAAAATAAAGACATACTATTTCCATAAAAGCAAGACTATACACAAGCATTCTTAGGCTATTCTTTGGTGGCCTTACATGTCTTTTCCTTTCATTTCCTTTGGTGGCTCCTTTAATGTCTTTTCTTGTTCACATTCAGCACTGTGAGATACAAAGTACAAAAAATACTTTGTCAGCACAGTGTACAAAGTGATACAGGGACCCAGTTTATCAGGCCAGTGTGAGAAGACACTAAGCTCAAAAGTGGAAAATGTGAGTTCTGGTTTTGGCTCTGCTGCAAATTAGCCACTAGTTTTCTGCCATGTCTGGGCTTCAACTCCTCTCTGGAGATTGAATATTCTCTAAGGGTCAGCTCAGCCCTAAAGTCAGTCAATGACTCTGACAATGAGCAAGTTTGTAAGAAAATAATGGAGCACAAGAATTTCACTGAAGGGAGATATTGGAGCAAAGGGCACATCTATAGGGTTTCAGCAAACTAAGATGGCTTCCTGATGCAGAGTATCAGAGGAGGCCAAGAGTGTACCAAAAAATGGCCAGGAAAGAACACTGAAGATAAAATTTGACCCATTCCTACTTTCAATAATATTTAAAATTTAATTTCAATGAAATTTAATTTTAATACTGTAAGCCAGATCCCACATTAAAGCCTTCCATATATTTTCATAGTTTTAATCCCTACAACAATCCTGTGAAACCAATGATTAAAAGAATTAATACAGATTTTGGGTTGACTAGTAACTTTTATCCTCTTAATCAAAATATGTGTTTCTATCACTGGGTGTGGTGAAGCACACCTATATTCCCAGTACTCAGGAGGCTGAGCCAGAAGGATTCCTGTGAATTCAATGTCAGCCTGGGCTACAGAAGTGAGTTGAAGGCCAGCCTGTACTACATAAAGAGACCCTGTCTCAAAAACATAAACAACTCCCACCAAAATAAAAGATACATTTGTCCTTAAAAGTTTATAGCTTACTTACTTTTTGGTCCTGTTAATTATATCAACTGCTACATGACTATTACATATAAATTTGCTATAAATACTCAGGTAGGTGGTTTTGTGGGGGCGGTTGCTAGGGATTGAACCCAGGGCTTTGTGCATGCAAGGCAGGGTACATGGGTCTGTATGAATGTTGAGTCTTCCTTTCTCTAAAGTAAGTGCCAAAAAGTTACATTATTACTTTAAATTCCTTTGTAAAATTGCTCACTAAGGGTTCTTATTTTACAGAGGGGAAGTAGAATAGAGGGGCGAAGAACTATGACAAAGATCACATGGATAGGATGCCAAAGTCAGGACCTCAATCAGGACAATGACTTCTTTTCACTCCCCTTCAATGTCTGCCAAACAAATTATAACAAAGTTAGGCTTCGGAAAGTTAATTTTTGAAAAGAGGTAGTTAATACATTTGAAGATGATCAACATATAATTAAATATATAAGTATATATAAATATGTGGCATTCTCCCATTTCACAGTGTAAAACTGTAAGATGATAAAAGTGCATACCTTTGCATAGCTTGGAGCCTGGTGAAAATCTCAGTGTTCTTTCCAAGGAATTTTTCCATTTGGAACTTTTCCTCACCTGAAATAAAGAAAATTCTTCTACATTTTACTTAAACCACATTATCATATTTCCATCCCCTAGAACATCGGTGGCAAACCCATGTGATGTGTGCAGCAGCAGGCTGCTTCTATTAATGGAAAGTTTAAAAATGTTTGCTATCATTGCCCTAGGACTTCCCTTGGAACGAGAAATAATCTGGACTACAAAATGCTTTCCTAATTGGGTTTGGAATGAATGCTCTGGAGGAAACTTTTGCTCTGAAAATTTGTTTCTCTTCCTCAGAGAACATTCAGAAAACAATCAAGTTATTCATCAGTCTTTCAATTATTTCTGGAAACAAATACTACTTCAAGAAGGCAAACTGATCCAATTCCTGTTAACAAACATCAGAGGGCACCAAAGATTTCAAACAGGAAAGCCCATTAAATGGGAGTTCCCAGAGAGCTGAAAGTACCTCTTGGCCATCAGCCACCACCTAAAGACAGGAGCATGTAGAGTGCAGTCTTGGGTACTGAGGAGCTGGATCAACTGTCCTACGTCCTCCTTGGCATGAAGAATCTAAAGTTACTTCTCAACAGTTCTCGGCAAAATGATGTTCAGATACCTAGCCAGTGTCTATTTTCTCTCCCAACTGAACTGTCCTAGTTCATAGACACGGGGGCAGATGGAATGCTCTACCTTGATTCCTAAAGATCATGACTCCCCACTCTACCCATCTCCTGAGATGCCTGGTAGGCTCTGGGGAGGTCCACACAGCACAGTGCCACCCTAGCAAATTCCAACACAATTGGAAACAGTAGTGACACAGAGGTTTTTCTTATGGTGACCATCTCTTAAGACAACACACACTCAGAAAGCATAAACTAATTCCTAATAAGAACACTCTAGAACCAGAGGATACTTTACAGAGTGTAGACTAAGACCCCCATCTGTGCTTTACCTGAGGGAGAGTAGGTCCTGGGATGAAGTCATCGTCCAAAACTAGGCAGATAAGTCAGGGCTCAGAAACCAGCATACATTCTATTGTACCCTAATGTTACGGTTCTGGGTGTGGAAGAGAATATGCAGCAGATCCTTGTGTGGAAGCAGGGTGGGAGTAGGGAGGAAAAGGCTGAGAGGAGGATATAGAGTAGAAATGTAAGGCTCTCACCTACTTCAGATGCTTGCAAGGGACTGGCCCAGGGTTTCTGACCTATCTATGTTACACCTCCATCCCAGTGAACCTTCTTCCAAACACAAGTAAAGCAACCATGTTCACACCAAGCCCACAAAGAGTGATCATGGGAAGAGCCTCTGTAGGAGAGGGAAGGTAGTCCAAGACCCTGGGAACTTTTAGTACTCAAGGCTTGAAGATTCTTAAAAGGCTCCTAACTCTGGCAAGGGAATGAATCTTGAATGAATTCACTTCCACAGCTAATTTTTTTTCAGTCTTTTTGAAACAGGGTCTTGCTATGCAGTTCAAACTGGCCTTGAGTTCACTCTGTAACCCAGGCTGGCCTCAAATTCACAATGCTCCTCCTGCCACCACCTCTCAAGTGTTGGGATAATAGGAATGTACCACTACGCCATACTCAAGGGGACTGAATCATGTTAGATTTGGAAGCTGAAGCGTGCACTGGAAGCAAAGAAGTAAGGTAAGAACCCCCATACACCTGTGTTCAGAATGTTGAAGTATGACTATGAACTTCTACATAGACTCTTAGGTGGATATCAATGGTTTAATGAAAGCATGGATGCTGTCTTGGTTACTTTTCTCTCATTGCTAGGACAAAATACTTGACGCCCAAAATGAAGGAAGGAAAGGTTTATTTAGATTATAGTAGTGGAAGTTTCAGCTTATAATCAGCTGGCTCCACATCAGGTGGCATGGCTTAGGGGCAACATGGTAGCTGTGGCAGATACCAGAAGTGACAAGATCAAAAGGGCAAAAGGAATGGGAGCCACTGGCGTTTACTAGGACCTGTGCCATGCTGGGACCTGGAGCACTGGGAAACCAAGCAACCCTGCCCACTTCCGCCTTGTGAGCGGCTGTGAGCATGGCAGGCTGTGGTGGCCCAGGATGGGAGCCACTGGTATTTACTGGGACCCATGCTATGCCGGGACCTACAGTATCAAGAAACCAAGCAACCACCCAATCCCCATGAGTGACTGTGAGCCTGCAAAATATCACATCTCCCCCCGCTACCCTGATAACAAGTGGGAGCCAGTGATCTGGACATCCCTTGAGAGGTTGACCATAGCAAAGTAGCAAATGGGGGGATTTCCTTCTGCTATCTCTTTAAAGGCAAATACTTTTATCCATGTTTTGCTTTGTTCTAATTAATGGTGTTATATTAGCTTGCTTTGTTTTGTTGACTTGAATATACATGAAAGTATGGACAGCTATTTTGAAGAGAACGAGACTCTATGACAGCCGTCAGTGACTTCCTTACTGTCTGGTTTTGAAGACCTAAAACACCTTCCTCATTCTGTTCAGCTCAGTTTTTTTTTTTTTAATTTAACGAGAAAAAGGAAAAAAAAAAACAGAAAAAGGGTACAAGTAATACCAAATTTAAAAAATAAACAGTAAGAAATCACTAGTTAATAGATTACATATTCTCATCTTAGAAATAGTTGTTCAAGTTACAAAATTGAAGCACATAAAGTGGACTTTCAAACAGTGAGAGTGAAAACAGTTTTGTTCAATGACCCAAAAAACACTCAGTAATATGGTTATCTATCTTATACACTTAAACATATATGCAGTTATAACCTTTAGAGAACTTTCTTTTCTTTTTTTTTTTTGTAGAATGACAATTACACATTTTGGGTTTTATTACTCCCACAGTTCTTTTTACTTTTTTTGAAGAGAGTAAAACCAAATGCGATATATCAGAACAGAGTCAGTCAAATCAAAAGCGTGGACGTAATAGATAATGTAAAAACAAAATATAAGGTGATCAACAATGGTTACCATACTGCCTCTTGCTATTTTAAGAATTGGCAGTTATAATAAAATTGAACTAAACAGGAAAGAATAAAACCAAAGCATTGGAGACATTACAGGATTTTAAAAGAAAATAATAGTCAATGGGAATGGGGGTCATAATGATTCTTATTGTCTTCACAGTTATACCTATACTTTAGATCTTGGTACTATCAAGCAAAGCAGAATAGAGGAAAATCAGTCAAAACAAGATGGTGAGGGTAATACAGGATTTCAAATCAAGTTAATAGGAAATCAAAGTAGGTTACTATAATGTATCCTATTTTTTATTTATTTTTCTCTTAATTAAAAAAATAAAAAGAAAAAAGTAAATAATTTTAAAAAGGGGGGGAATTGAGATAAAAGAACGCATAACAACAGAACAGCGCAGGTCAAATCATAACCATTTAAGCAAACCAGTGTTTCACCACAAGATATCCTGACATAAAAATAGTTACCATAGTGTCTCTTTCCTTGAAATCTTTGAGTATAACTTCTTATACTGCAGCACCAAACATATCACAACACTATAAAACCATTCAAGACAATGATATCATTACAGGGTATTTAGAACCAATTGACAGAAAATGAACAATGATTTCTATATAAATCCTTGTCTATAAAAATTTTTGCTTATATTATCATATATAATAAAACCCAGTAAGATACAACCTTTTAAGACCAATGGAGACTGAAGAATACATGTTTGATGGGACTTCAAAACAAGATGATACTAAATCAGCAGTAGCTATTATGATGTCTTGTTTTCTCCAAAATGGCTGTTCCTGCCTTCCAATCTTCTCTGCCTCATTTCTGTTGAGCTCTTTTTCTGTCGTTTGTTGTCAGTTTGTCATTCTTCATTTCATTTTCTGCTCCATTCATTGTGGCCTCTCTGCCACTATTTCTGGAATCTTGGTATTTTCTTTTTTTAGACTATCCTGCAGTATTCTCTGTAGAGTTGAATTTGTGGTTGCAAATTCCCCTAGTTCCTCTTTATCCTGGAAGCACCTTGTTTTTCCATCAATTTCTAGGGACAGTTGTGCAGGATGTATCAATCTTGGCTGGAGGTTATTATCTTTCAAAGCTTGAATTATTTTCCCCCATGCTCTTTGTGATTTGATGGTTTGTGCCGAGAAGTCTGTTGTAATTCTGATGGGTGTTCCCTTGTAAGTGATCTGTTTTTTGTCTCTGACGGTTTTTAATATTCTGTTCATATATTGGATTTCTGGAATTTTGATTATTATACACCTGGGTGTACCTCTGTTTGGGTTGTAGGTGGCTGGTGTCCTGTATGCCTCATATATCTGAGTATCTTTACTTTTGCAAAATTAGGGAAATTCTCTTGGATTATTTCTGTGAATAGCTTTTGAAGTCCATTTGTTTGTGTCCCCACTTCTTCTCTTATGTTCTTAATTCTTAAGTTATAGATCCTCTTATCATCTTCTAGCCTTTGTATTATTGCTGTTTGTTTCCTTGTTATTTTTAAGAAGTTTTTCATTTCATGCTCCCATATTACAAATCTGCCCTCCAGTTCAGATAATCTGTCCTTAGTTTCTTTCAAGCTGTTATGCCAGTTTTCGATGTGTTTTTAGTTTCCTGGTAGTCTCTTTGAACCTGCTTCGTGTATTCTACGTTTGCTCTATCTTCTCCATCAAACAATTCTCCCTTTTTCTGTTCTTCCATTCCACCATCTGCTTTTTCTTGGGTAGTGCTTAGCATTTCTCTAACTATTCTGCTTATGTCTTGCTTCAGGTCATTAAGAACTTCATTCCTGAACTCGTCTATGAGGCTCTGGAGATAGCCCTTTATATCTATTGGTGCCATGTCTGCTATTGCGTGTTTCTCAGGACTGGGGGCCGAGGACCCTTTCTTGTTGCTCCCTCTTCCCATATTCTTTGTTCCTTATATTTAAGCATGTATAGGAGGCCCAGCTTCCTTCCCTGTTGGCCACAGTCTGTTTGAATTGCACCGGCTAGGTGTTCCCGCCCACTGTAGTGTACTAGGGAGACACAGACCTGGGCAGCCTATGCTGGGCCTGCCCCTCCAGGTCAACCTACTGAAGGCTTCACCTCTAGGGTGCACCTTCAGGCACTGGGACCTGAGTTGGGCTTGCCTATTGGGTCTCAGCCAGTGGCGTCTCACAGACCAGGCACTCCCCACCAATCCCACTTCAGAGGGGGAAATGTGACTGAAGTCACTGCAGCTTCTCGTTCCGGGAAGTCTGCCTGGTCCGAGTATGTCCTCCGCTGAAGCCTCCTTCTCTATGTAAGGGTCCGATTTGCTCACTTACCGCAGGTCGATGCAGGGTACCCGGCCAGTCCTGCTCCCAACTCCTTTCAACGCTTCCCACTCTCGGACCTTTTGAGCCTCTCTCCCTGCTGTGCCAACCAGGACGCAACAGTGGCTGCAGGTAATTCAAATCGCAGATTCCAGTGGCGCGGGTCCAGCTTCTGTGCTGAGACCTTATCTGTGCCTGCTATCTCACCAGGATTGTGTTTCCAGATGGTTTCTCTTAATTTAGTTCATTCCTGAGTCAGCAAAGAATATCCCCCCTTGCCTGGGACTTCCTGTCCGGCACCATTCCTACATTTCAAGTGCGGTTTCTCCGAGAGCCTCAGAGGCTGCTGCTATCTATCTACCACGTTCTTCCGGAATCCAGCTCAGTTTTATACAGTATTGTTTTGTATGAATTCTCTGTATGCGAAGACATGGACAACTATTTGCAAGAAAACAAGAGAGAGTATGACAGATAGTGAACATCTCAGGTCATCTAGCTTTGAAATTTGTATCTCTTACATTGCTTTCTTATGTCCTATTTTGTTCTGTTTTGTTGTTTAATTTTATCCCCTTTAAAATAAAAATTTTTTAAAGTGCAAAAGGAAAAGAATGCCTTCTTTCTTCCCTTCTATTGTATGCTGGCTACCTGCCCCTGGGGGAGGGGTACAGCACTCACACTGCCAATCCCAGTGCTACACAACGAATCAATCACAACTGCCAGACTCAGCTGCCTCCATGACTGTATAAGGCTTTGAAGGGACATCCAAAAACCAACCATAAGGTTCCATACTTGGCCCTATAAAGACACAGGGACATCCTTTATGCAACAGATAGTTGGTCCATTGCCAAAGTCCTAACAGTTTCAGCATTGCTAAAAAGTTCAAATTCCAAGTCTTTTGTGAGATCTAAGGCAAATTCTTAGCTATAAACCCTTGCACAAATTAAAACAAAGTTAAACACTTCCAACATTCAATGATACAAGATAAACATTACCATTCCAAAAGGTACAAACAGGGATACAAAGCACTGGGACCAGAGGAAGTCCACAATCCAGCAGGGCAAACAGTAAGTACTATAGTTCCATGTGCACTGTTTGAGGCAATATATGGCAAACTGTGAGCTCCAAAAGGCTTGAGTGACTCCACCTCCATGGCACTTCTGGTAGTTTTGGCTCCCATGGCTTCTCTGTTGGGCTGGCATTGCTCTCTCTTTGAAGATTTCCTTACATGATCCATGCTCCTGGCTTTTCCAAACTTCTAGGTTCTCCACTGCACCTATGGCTTCATACACGCAGCTTCACACACTACTCTCTCAGGGGCATGCTGCCTGGCCTCTTAGGCCCTCTGAAATCTGGGTGGAAGCCTTTACAATCTCAGAACTCTTGTGTTCTGCATGTGCCTAAACCCAGTGCCATGTAGATGATGCCAAGGTTCACTGTGAGCTGAAACAGTAGCCAGGCTTTCCTCTCTCTTGTAGAGTTCAAGTGCTTGGATTGCTCAGCACTCTAAATCTGATTCTGAGGAGGAAATTCTCTATGCTATTGTCATTCTGGAACCTGGTTTGGCTGCTGCCATTTTGGAAACCTGTGGTCATCCCTGCCATTCTAGAACATTCTAGAACATGGCGCTCAGTGGCTTTCTCTTCACAGTAGTCTTTCACTTTTGTCATTTTGAGGCTACAAAGGGTGGAGACCCACTGCTTTTTGTGATGTTCCCAGGCCATCTTTTCTGTTCTTCTGTTCCTTCTCAGCAATCAAGATCTCAGCTCTATCTTTACAGTCCATAGCTTTACTAGAGCTTCCTTTCTGGACAAACTTCCATTTTAAATAATCCACCTGGACATTTTGCTCTTGATTGGCAACATAAATCTGGCAAAATGCCCCCAACAATAACCATGCCACTGCCTCAACATTAGACTGCCTTGAAATTTCTTCTCTCAGATTAGTTAGTCCACTGTCACTAATCTCAGTCACAGGCAAAGTCTCTGGACATGAGCAAGACACAGACAAACTTTCTGCAAATCCATAACACATTGTTTTGAGTCCAACAACCCCTGCAGTCAGTCCTTCCCAGCAAAAAACCATGGGGCCTTGTCTTTACCAGCAAGATTTCTTTCAGTTTCTGGTCTCCTGAGCTTTGACCAGACTCTCCCACACAGAACGGCCTAAGGTGCTCCAGCTCTACTTCTTTAGGTAACATCTTTTAACTTGAACCTTTCCAAACTCTTTCCGTAAGCCACTCCCAAAGACTGCTGAACTACAGTCAGGTAAAGTCATGGTAATGACCTCACTCTAATGGTACCAAAGTCTGTTGGTTACTTTTCTCTTATTGCTGAGACAAAATACTTGACACCCAAAATGAAAGGAGGAAAGGTTTACTTAGCTCACAGTTTATGGAGGTTTCAGTCCATAATCAGCTGGCTTCAAGTCAGGGTAGCATGGCTCAGGGGCAACATGGCAACTGTGGCAGATACCAGAAACGACAAAAGCAAAACGGCAAAAGGGGAAAGCACGCCTCTTTCCTTCCCTTCTACTGTATTCCAGCCCCCTGTCCCTGGGTGGGTGCAGCATTCACACCATCAATCCTTACCCTAGACAATGAACCAATCATAAATACTAGACTTAGCTGCCTCCATGACAGCATGAGGTTATGAGGAAACACGCAAACATAAACCATAACTGATGCATACCTGAAAACAACAAAAGCATGCAATCGTTAAAATGTCTGTAAGACAACCAATACTGCATTTATATGTTGTCGTGTGCAACATCACTGATCTAATGTTAACTTGCCACCTAATGGAAAGCTCCTGTAAAGTTACAAAGCACCAAAGGCCTCCAAAGGATGGTGGGTGGGAGCAGGTGACAGCATTAAGTTGAATCTGCACTACTGGCTGTTAACTCAGTGATAATAAAGATGCTATCCAAGCAAAAGAAAACAACAGTGAGGGCCAGGGATTTAGCTCAGTGGTGCAAGTCCCTGCCTGGCAAGCACAAGGTCAAGAGGTTGCTTCCCAGTACCAAAAAACCCCAAAAACCAAAAACAGTGAAACTGGCTTCTAAGGTGGAGAAAGACACAAAAACCAAATTCAAGTTTGTGTATCCAGTAACTGGCTTTGTGGATTCAGAAAATTCCTCAAGTTGCTCCAAAAGTTAACTATTGTGGTATGTCACCAGGGAGGTAAAAATCTAGTGAGACCAGATGGTGGATAAAACAGGGACTACAATGTATGCTATACAAAATACAAAGGAGTATACATAACATGTCAGTGTCACGAGCTGGTAAGGAGCCGGGGCTCCATTCTTACTAGAAGAGATAACTGAGCCTCAGTTTTCTCATCTGTAACATGAAAGGCTGAGACAAGATGATCTCTAAGCATCCTGCCAGCCCTAAAATTATCTGTCATCCAACAAACATTAAAGGCAAGAGATTTTCAAAGGAATCTTCCCTAGGGCTTACCGTAGCCTTGAGGTTGGGCAAATACACCTTGTATTTCTTCAAAGTTTCCTTCTATGGGACTTGAGGCCTATAAAACAATGAAAGGGGGAGGGTAAAGAAAGGAGGCTCATTGACAGAAGATATATCAAAAATTTAAGGGTCGTATTTCCTTTCTTATGAGATTAAACCAGGGTGTTGCATATCTTAGTAGCACTCTAACACTGAGCTACACCCCCTGCCCTCCCAATGTTCTTAAACCTTGGAAAGCTTCATGAGGCCTCTTTACCTCTCACAGTTAAAGACTATTTCATGACATTAAATACCAATTTTTGTTGTTTCATCAACAAAAAGCCTTCACTCTGTGAAAAGGAATTTTATAACTTTTCTCTTTGCATCATTGTCCCCTTGTTACCTAAATTTTCCAACAACACTGTTTTGGTTCTTGGGAACTTAGTAAGAGTCAAAGGAGGCCGAAAATGGATCAGCATGAAAAACTACCCTAAGTTGGCATGGTGGCAAATACCTATAATCACAGCACTCAGGAGGCTGAGGCAGGAGGACTGCTGCAAGCTGGAGGCCAGCCTGGGATACAAAGTGAATTCAAGGGCAGCCGAAATTGCATAGTGAAACCCTGTCTCAAAGAGACGAAAAAGAAAAACCCTACTCTATAACATGAGAAGTCAAAACAATAGAAATACTGGTTCTCTTGTGGAAAGGCAAAGATTGGGAGGGAGAACAAGGGTTTATTTTTCTTTTCCCCACTCTAAATTTTTTATTAGTGTATTCCTGTGATACACAGTAAATATATTCACCATAAAGGAATACATTCATTACAGGGGAACTGGCACATATACATATTGATCTTAATCCTTTTACTTTCCATTTCCCCTCTCTTCTTGCTCCCTCATCCACTGAGATCTCCTTTCAATCCTTTTGAAGAACCAACTCAAGTCAGTGATCCTTTGCATTGTTTTTTCAGTCTCAACTTCATTAATTTCTGCTCAGATCTTTTATCTCTAGTAGTTTCACACTTGTTCTGTGTTGGTAGGCTCTCAAAATGCACCAGTGGGATATTTCAGCTTGCTTTTTTTTTTTTGGTACTGTGACTCACACTCAGGACTGCGTGCTCGCCAGACAGGTCTTCTGCTATTAAGCTATATCCGTGGCCCTTCTAATTCTTTCCATGTGTGCATTTATAGTTAAAACTTTCCCTCTTAAAACTTCTTTCATAGTGTCCCATAGGGTTTTTTTGAAGATAGTAAAATACAACAAAACAAGACAGAACAAAGCCAACTGAAACAATGCAGTGAAATTGGTACAGAACTTCAGGGCAGGATACCAGGATAACAGTAATAGATTCCATAATATGTCTCATTATCTTCACAATAGTTGTCCATTCAATCAAGTATAGCAAAATCAAACCAAAAACAGAACATTATAAAACTTATCAAAACAATATTGAATGGAGCAAGACAATGGATCATAACAAAGCAAAATAGTAAAAACATTTGCCTTTAAGAGAAGACAGAAGGAAATCCCCCATATTTGCTATATTGCACAGTCATCCTCCCAAGAGATGCTCAAACCTCTGGCTTCAGGTCAGCATAATCAACCCAACAATACAAGCATTTAGTTGCTTTATGTGCTTTAGCTGCCATCAACTCTGGCTGTCCTCAACACCTTCCAGTGGCTAAATGGGGGTAGGAGAGAATGGGACATTTGATTTTCAGCCCAGCGCCGGTAGGCTCACAGGAGACACTGAGTTGTTTGTGCCCACTGCTTGCTTGCTCCATGGCTTACCAAGAGGGAGGTCTTGTTGCTTTCTTATTCATCCCCTCAAGTTCCAACTTGTCCCATAGGTTTTAATATGCTGTGCTTCCACTGTTATCTGATTCTTCTGACTTCTTGGGATCTGTTGATTTCACAACATTATTTAATCTTTGTGCTGGCATAGTTTCTTTTGTTGTTGATTTCTACTTTTCTTCTGCTATAGTCTAATAGTATTTGGGGACTATTTAATTACTTTTGTATTTATGCATGCTTTATACCTAAGTTATAGTCTCTTTTGGAAAGCATTCTGTGTGCTGCTGAGAAATGTGTATTCTCTCATTGGATGAAACACTCTGGATACCTGTTAAGGCCACCTGTTCAATGATATGATTTAACTTTGATGACCTTTGCTGATTTTTATTTTGCCTGACTAATCTGTCTAATTGTTAATCTACTCATCACTTTAACTCCAGGGGTTTTATTATGAAACTGGGTGTACTCTACTCTGTTTAGATTATATTCTGTCCCAGTTTATCTACTTGCGCTACATCTGAGGGCACAGACAACGATTCCAAAAATAGCAGGATACAGTACAGGAATCATCCTTAATTCCCTATTAACTTAGCTGAAGCCCTGTATAACTTATACTGAACCTGGTTTGTTAGACTGCTGTTTGGTATCGATGCATTTGATTCAAAACTGTTATGATTGATAGTATCAAGTCTGAGAGTATAGGCAACTACAATGAAGATGGTAAGATTCACTAGGATACCCATTCTGGTTGGATTATTACCTGCTTTTGAAGTTTTACACTATCTACCATGTTTTGTTTTTATTGTTATGTACTATTATATTCAATTATACTAGGTCTGATGATATAGACAATTCTATTGAAGAAGAGACAACACAGTAACCATTGTACAACACCTTGTACTGTGGTATTATATGACTTATTCATTTCATGTGTTTATAGGAATATGTTTTGTTTTGTCTTGATTTGCTTTGTTTCTTCAATATAGATAGGACAGAAATACACGTAGAGACTCATGCATACGTAGAACCTTTAAACAGTTTATGAGAACTGATCTTATAACACATGATGAAATGAACAACTACTTTGAAGAAAAAGAGACACTACAGTACCCAGTGCTGATCCCATAGTGTCATGATGTGAAATCCAGCAATACTATTATTCTTTGTTCAGAGTGATTTTAGCCTGCTTTGGTTTAATCTTAACACACATGAAGATATGGATAACAGCATATATGTTTAAGTGTATAGGATTGTTAACCATATTACCAAGTTTTTGTTGGATAGTTGACCAGAACTGTTTGCAGTCTCACTGTTTGAATGTCTACTTTGTATGCTTCACTTTTGTAACTTGAACAACTATTTGTAACGAGGACAATATGTAATTACCAACTAGTGATTTCTTACTGTTTATTTTTCCTTTGAAATTATGTATTATTTCTACCCTTTTTCTGTTTTGTTTACTCTTTAAACAAAATTTAAATAAAAATAAATTGGGTGTGCCACATTCATGCCCTTTTTCTGTTTTGTTTTATTCTTTAAACAAAATTGAAATAAAAATAAATTGGGTGTGCACAGATATCTACAACTGTTATCTCTTCCTACTGAATTGTATGTAATAGACATCTTCCTCTCTATTGATAAGTTTTGGCCCGACGCCTGATGTGTCTGAAAATAAGATAGCTATTTCTGCTTGTTTTGGGGTTCTTGTTGAATGTGGACCTTTTGGATGAAGCGTGTCTCTTGTAGGCATATATGGCTGTGTTGTTTTTTGGTCCAATCCACCATTTTGTGTCTTTGATTAGGGACTTCAGACCATTTGACATTGAGAGTTAATATGTATTTATTTAGTTATACCATTGCATTATTTTTCCAGTGTTGATTCTTTCACAGATATTCCTCCTTTAGCGACCTATTGAATGACTGTTCTGCCTTAAGCCTCCTTCTCAGACTTATGATGGTCTTTTTTGTAGAGTCAATACACCTTGTTTATACAACTTCAAGTTCTTTTTTTTTGTACAGTACACCTTTTTTATACGGTACTATATTATGTTCTTTAATACATAACAGTACTGCATGTGAGAGTTATGCAAATAAAAGCAAAATCATGAAATTGGAGTGAGTCAGTCTGTTTCTTGTTTGTGTTTTTTGAGACAGTGTCTCACTATGTACTCCAGGCTGGACTGATCCTCATGCCTCAACATTTCTCCTGAGTGAAGACAGGTAAAAATCATGCTTTTGATATACCTGAGACTCTTGTTAGTCAAATGTTATGATTGTAATGTACACTCCTGCCTTCCCTTCAGCCTCTCAAGAAGTGGGATTACAGGCATGCACCATCATGTCCGGCTATAAGTTGTTTTCTTTGACCATTTCGTTGTTCTGAAAACTGCAGTGTACATTCTATATATGGTCCCTCATTTAACACCCAATTCAATTAAGGATGGTCACAGAACCATGACCAATTCAATTAACAACCCAGTCACAGGACCGTAACAGTTGTTAAATGAGAATTCCCCAACACACACACATATCTTTTGACAATTCTATTATATGCATACTCTGTATTCTTTGATGCTGGAGGCCTCCTATTCTCTGTCTAGAATTCCTTTAAGTATTTTCTGGAATGCTGATTTAGTTCACATGTAGTTCTTGAAGATTTCTGTGTCATGGAAAACCTAATAATTTTGAAGGCTAATTTACCAGGATATAAAACTCTAGGTTGATAAGTGTTTTCCTTCAGGGATTAAAAATCTTTACTGCTGGGTGCAGTAGTACACATTTGTAATCTCAGCGTTGGAGAGCGTGAGGCAGAAAGACTGCTGCAAGTTAGAGAGTCTGCGGGCTACACAGTGAGTTCAAGGCCAGTCTGAACTATATATTGAGCCACGAGTCTCAAAAAAAAAGGATCTGGAGAGCACCACCGCTGCTGCCTGGAGGGGGGAGCTGCACTGCAGGCGCTTACTTAGGCCTTGCCAGCGACCTTCTCTCAGCCCAGAGAGCACCATTCCGCCGCCCAGAGAGAAATGCACTGAGGAGGAGGTTTGAGGCCTGCGTAGACCACAAAGGTAACCTCCTTTCAGCCCAGGGAGCTTTGCCGCCCGACAAGTTGCATGCCTGCACAATATCCGATCCCCATGAGGGTTTGAGATCCTTGCTCTGGGTGGTTGGGGACGGGCCCAGCTTGTGGCCACACCAGATTGGGCTTGGCAGGATTTGGGCCTGCATGGACTGCACAGTGGCCTTCTATCCATTGGCAGACCTTTGTTGTCAGAGAGGGAGCTGCAC